CCCCGCCCCACCTACTCCTCGCTCTGAGAGGCTGCACCGGCGCCTTCCTAAGGCCCAGCCCCCCTTCCCCCGCCACAGCCGCAGTCTGCTTGCCGGGGCGGCGGCCTCCTCCCCGGGTCCGCAGGCTCCACGAAAGTCCCGAAGAAGCCACCCGAGGGGGTCCCCGCCCCGAGGCCGTCACAGCCCGCGCCCCGCAGCCCGGGCACTCGGAGCCGGCGGGGCCCTGCCCGTGTCTCTGCTTCCGGGGCTCGCCCGCACTCCCAGCGTAGCGGTCGCAGCGTCCGGTGTTCCTGCCCTTCCCGCGCGGACTCAGAGCGGCCCCCAGGGTCATTCCGTCTGCGGGCGGGCTTAGCTCAGCGCGGCGAAGAAGGCAGTGCGGACGAACAGTGCCGCCTTCCTGCGGCGCGGACGCGGTGGACGCGGTGGACGCGGTGCACGTGTGCGTGCTGACCACTGGCCCCGGCCAGGGCGCTCGCCTCCTCGCGGCTCTCTGAGTCTGTAGCCGGCGGAGCAGATGCCGGGCGGGTTGGGTGGGGATGATGGGCGGGGGCTGTCCGTGGGGTCTGCAGGTGCCCGAGGGCTTCACGGGGAGGCGGCGGCACGGGGAGGAAGGCGCGAGTTCTCCCATCCCTCGCGACCCCCGGAGACCTGCCCACCACCCGGGACAGTGTGTCAGAGCATTTTGCCCCCAAGGGCTTGGTGGCCTGTGGCTGCGTCTGTGGGGGCACGACCTGCCTTCCAGGTTCGCTCTTAGCCCCTGGCCCGTCTGTCTGTCCGGTGCTAGGGATTTGGGAGATGGGACCAGCACTCTGCGTGTCCCTGAAGTGGTGTCAGCAGGCTTTTGTGCTGAGGAAAAGGGCACCAGGTTGTTTGTGGGTACTTAGGGGCAGCAGCCTGTGCCCAGGGCTGAGCAGGAGCCCAAACGGGCGGTGGCCGCGAGGGGGGCGCGGCTCCGGGCTTGTTTCCGCCCTCTGCCCTGAGTGGGAGCCAGCCCCTCAGTGCAGGCGGGGGACGCAAGGCTGGCCTCAGCTCTGAGCGGTCAGCATTCTCGGGGTATAACCTTGTGCTAGAGAGGAGAGGAAGGAAACTGAGCCAGCAAGTTCAGGGCCGTGTCACTTCAGAGACTGGACAGGAGGGGCCCAGGTGCCTGGGGCAGGTCACCCCGCGCTCGGGCCTCTGCCGTAGCTCGTCCACCAGCGGCCACAGGGAGAATGCTACAGGCCGGCCCCATGGGTTTCTTTCTCAATGGAATCCTTTTAGGTCAGATTTTGTCTGAATGTAAACGGGAGTCTTGGGACCTCTGTGAACTGGGAGGTTAGATTTGAGGTATGATCTTGTTGACAGAGATTCTCTTTTTCCATGGATTGTGTTAACTGTGTCCTGTGTCGTGTTGTGTTGATAAAGACATGCTCTGCTTTTATTTATGTAAGTTGATATAAAATTAATTTCGAAAACCGTCCTTCTCATGTTGGACCCAAAATGAACTCTGGACAGGATGTGAGGGAGGAGACCGAAGCCTGAGCCCTTCCTAGTCTGGCATAAATGCTGATCTCAGGACGTGCAGTCCAGCCGGAAGGCCCCCTCCAATTCTCTGTGCCCCCAAAAACAGGTGGAAGGGGGTTGGTGCTGCCAGGTGGACCGGGATGGGACCGTTGTGGATTTTAGCCCTCAGACTGCGTCCTTCCTGCAGCCCACATGTGGGGTGCACCTTCACGGAGGTGTAACAGCCACACCACAGCATTTGCCCGTTTTCAGGGCACAATTCAGGGATTTTTCAAAATGTACATCATACTTGTGCAAACAGCACAATTCCGTTTTAGAACCGCCCATCACCCCAGAAAGACGCACTGGCCCCCCACAAATCTACTTGCCTTCTGTGGGCAGCTCAGTACCTGGAGTCCTGTGCTGTGTGGTCTCGGCATCTGGCTTCTCAGCTCCGTGTTTCCCCAGCTCATTCATTGCAAGGTGCGTGCGTCACTGCTTCGCTCCTTTTGCTTCCCTGTTTCTGAGCTGATGGCACGAGTCGTTGCGGGTTTGGGCACGCTCTAGTGCATCTTCTCGGGTGGTCATGTTTCCATATGTCTAGCTGGATACGGTGGTGCGGGCTTGCTGGGTCGTCTATAAATTTGTGTTTAATTTTGCTGAGACAGTTCCCAACTGCTTTCCCAAGCGCCTGCGCGTTTTACCTTCCTGCACTTGGGGCGGTGCAGCGGACCACGGCTGTCCGGGCCCTTGCCCAGCGGCGCCCCAGCGCGTGTTAATCCGCACTCTGCTAGTGACCAGTGATACTGAGGATCCTCTCCCACGTTAGTGGCGGCCGTGCATCCTCTCCCGGGCGGGCTCGGTGGGCGGCCGTGCGTCTTTTTGGGGGAAATGTCTGTTCAAATATTTTGTCCAGGTGTGACTTGGGTTGTTTCTCTTGCTGAGCATGGAGGGCTCTGTGTACATGCTGGACACGGGTCCTTCATCGGATTCGTGACTCCAAACGTTTCCTCCCAGCCTGTGACTTGTCCGTTTACTTTCTCATTAGTGCTGTTTGCAGGGCAAACGTTTTTAACGGAGATCACGTTGTGGGTGTTGGGTCTCAGAACTTTTGCCAGTCTCCTGTTTTCTCTTAAAATGCTTATGATTCCCGCTGTCCCGTTTGCCACCATGACCCCTGTTGAGTTAACTGTCATGTGGGGTATGAGATGCTGTGGACCTGAAGCCAGCCTGTGAGGGTTCACACACTGTGTAGATTTACAAAGTTTATTGTAGGTAATTTCAAGTTAAACTTTCATTTTTTTGATATGATGATTTCAAATGTTACTATTTTATTGTAAAAATAGAGCACACTTATTGTAGAAAATTTGGAAAACATAGGACAGCACAAAGATAATCAGCTGGAGTTCTGCCATCCTGGAAACCATCCATTAGTGTTTGGGTGTGTTTGTTTCCACTGAGTGTGTGTTTATATTCATTCATGTCAAATCAAATGCTAATCTCCTGTCTAGGGGTTACTCTGTTTTGACTAACACAGCCCTCATTGGCCCTGGCTGCCCAGCCTCCTGCAGAACTCCGATCCAGGCTGAGAGGCAGCTCCACAGCCCTGGACATGGGCTCCAGCCTCGCTGGAGCTCAGCTCCGTTTCCACCTGCAAACAGGCTGATAGCAGCATCTGTCCCCTAATGGGGGACGGGGAGGAGCTGGCATCTCACCCAACGCACCCGCCCTGTCCCCAGTCTTCCCGTGAGCCACAGCCACCAAACCCTTCTGTGGACAAGTGGCTGGCTCCAGTTTTTTTTTACCTTTGGGATTGCAAGTTATATTGTGGGCAACAACATCAGATATAAATATTTCCTTGCATGGACGATATTTCTTTTGTGCGTATCTCTGAAAGGCAGGAGGGGTCAGAGTGTAGACATGCTTCCGGGTCTTGGTGTGTTTAAGGCTCGTCCTGGTGGTTTGCCATGTGAGCTGGTCCCTTAAACGTGAGGGTGGGCAAGTCTGGGCTGAGAGCAGAGACCGCCAGAGGGTTGGGCGTCCCCTGCCCCAGGCCCTGCTCCCCACTGCGCAGTGAGGTGGCCCCTCATGGTAACGTGGGGTGTGCTCTCCTTTCAGGACTGGAAGGACCACCAGCACCTGTGCGGTCAGTCGGCAGCTGTCACTGTCCAGGCGGACGAAGTCCACGTCACTGACAGTGTGATGGAGAAAGTCACCGTGTGAGGGTCCCCGGGTCCCCCCTCCACGGTGCCGCGGGGCTGCCGCGGGTCGGGCACTTTGGGGGACGTTGAGGAGAAGGTGAAAACACTTGCTGGTCAAGTTGTTAACAGACTTTAAGTGACCTGCGCCCTTGGAAATGAGCTCCTGCCACCCAGAAGCCCTGAGGGAGGTCGAGGCAGCGGCTGGTGGACGCAGGCCCCGGGCCCTTGGCGCCTTCCCACGGTGCTCTTTTTTATCCCCTGGCTCGTGAGCATCCGGTCTTACCCACGGTGTGACGTGTGCAGTAACACACGTGTACATAACATGTGTCTGTCAATAAAGTTGACTTCCCTGCCCCACCAGGACGGGTGACTCCAGCTCCCCAGATGCCCAGGAGGTGGGTGGGCCTCAGTTTTGTTTCTCCTGACCGTGCGGTTTGGAGTTCGCAATGCCCAAGTGTGCAGACCAGCGGAGGGGCAGCGGCGAGGCCGGCCTGTAGCATTCTCCCTGTGGCCGCTGGTGGACGAGCTACGGCAGAGGCCCGAGCGCGGGGTGACCTGCCCCAGGCACCTGGGCCCCTCCTGTCCAGTCTCTGAAGTGACACGGCCCTGAACTTGCTGGCTCAGTTTCCTTCCTCTCCTCTCTAGCACAAGGTTATACCCCGAGAACGCTGACCGCTCAGAGCTGAGGCCAGCCTTGCGTCCCCCGCCTGCACTGAGGGGCAGAGGGCAGAGAGGGTCAGATAGGGGCCAGCGCCTGGGGTACTCATCACCAGCGCATTTGGGTATCAGGCTTGGCTGGCCTGGAAACAGGACCTGCCTTCCCTGCTGACCAAGAGTGGTACCTGAGGAACAGTCACCTACGTTCTGGAAGCTTCTGTGGGTTTCCAGAAATGCCCCTGTGGCCCTGGAACCCTTGGCCTGCCGTCACCCTGTTTTCTTCGCACTCCTGAGGCTCGGAGGCTCCACTGTGCGGGGGCAGAGGTGAAGACCCGCCCCAGATGGAACCATGGGCTGTGTGCAGTGGCGGGCCAGCCCAGCCAGCAGGCGCTAAGACCCTTCTACGGACGTCACTTGATCCTGATGCTTGCCTCAAAGTGCCGTTTCTGTGAGCTGTGCATGTTCACACCTCCATGGGTGTGGAAGAATACCCCCAGCCCTGCACCCTCCCTGATTCCTACTTCCAGAAAGTGCTTCCAAGTCTGTAGCACCCTGGAGACTTGGCTTTTGGGACGCTGGCTCTAGAACGAGCTGAGGGGGCTGCCAGAGTTGTGATAGGAAGGGGGCGTGAGCATGGGGTTCACAGGGGTGCTGCTCTGGCTCCTAGAGGCGGCTGCTTCCCCCTTGGGCTGCGTCCCCGGGTCAGGGAGGGCCGGGCCCTAGGTTCAGGGACAGACCCCCAGCTGGCAGCTCTCAGGGAGCCCAGCAGGGGCCCCGCTCCCCAGAAACCTGCTCTGCCTCTGTGCTCCTTGAGCTCTGCGGACTAAGCTGCTTTATTTGGGTTTTCTTTTACTGAATCTAACAAGTACCTGAGTCCCTGCATTTCATCTTCCTGCCTCTGCCACCACCTCTCAGGGGGACGAATTCCAAGAAGTCTGGGCGCATACCCTTGGCAGAGGACATGGTGAGCATGGTGGGCTGTGACCCTGGCCCCATGATGCACCGTCCCCCACTGGGCACCCTCATAGCGCACCTTGAGTGGGTTTTTCTGCTGCTGCAGCAGAACGTGGCGGGAAGGGGGCACTTCTCAGCTCTTGGCTGTGTCCCTGCTTCCCTGCTTCTCTGGGGTGGGGGGAGCACATCAGCCTCAGCAGAAGGGATCTGCACCCAAACCTGAAAATGCTCAAAAAGCAAGTGCCAGTCCCCCTGCAAGGAGAGTTCCACTCCCCACCCCCACCCCCCGTTGGACCGGCTCCATCCTGGGGTGGGGGCAGCTTACTCTCCCCCTCCTCTTTGAGACAGAACCCTCATGGGGCACCTGGCTGGCTCAGTCGTTAAGCATCCAACTCTTGATCTCAGGGTCATGAGTTCAGGCCCCATATTGGGCTCCACACTGAGCATGGAGCCTACGTAAAATAATAATAAAAAGTAGATAGAACCCTCAGGACTGCACATTTTGGGGGCAGTTTTTCAAATTGCATCCTTTCTAGGCCTGTGAAGTGTTCTTTGGTGGCTTCTGGAAATTCCTGGGGCGGGGGGGATCAGGCTTTGTTGCCAGTCCTCAAAGAGTTCTGTGTCAGGGCATCTCCTGCTGGACGCAGCCTCGGGGGACAGGCAAGGGGCCGGCTTCTGTCAGCACAGGCCAGGCCCTTTGGGGCACCGTGGGTCTTCAGAGCCAGGGCTCCAGGGAGCTGCAGGCTGGGGTGATTGGCATCGGTGGGATGGCTGAGTGAGCTGGGTAGTCAAGGCCCCTCCAGGGGCTTCCCGGTCAGCCAGGCCCTCTGTGGCTCTGCATGTATCCCTCCCCCTGCCCTGTGCACCTTGTCCTCCTCTGTGGGAGCTGCAGGTCCTGCCTACAGGGCCAGTGGGGACCGTACAGGTCCCCAGCAGCTCCCAGCTCGTGGGGTTGGTCAGTCCTGCCCCCACATACAGGTGATGAGGAGGAGGACACAGCGTGGGACACAGCCAAGGTTGGGAGGTGCCCACAGCTGCCTGGCAGGGGGAGGTGCTGGTTGATGGCAGGGCTCTCGGACTACCTGAGGTGGCTCCACAGGTCCATGTGGAGGGAGCATCAGAGGGCATGGGGGGCCCCTTGCTCTGACCTTGCCTTCAGCCTGAGGGCCCCAATGACCCTCCCTGCTCTTCAAGTCTGAGACCCCCAGGAGGGACCATTGGCCCAGCTTGGGGCAGGTGTCTGTGGGGATAGCCAGTGGGGGCAGGGGCTCAGGGGCTTGTGCTTCTGTCTGAGTATCAGGGCTACTCCCTGCGGGGAGACCCAGGGTGTCTGCTGCAATTGTCCTCACACTTCATGGGCAAGAAGGTGCAGAAACTCAGGGAGCCACCAGAGCCAGGTCTGCCAGGTGCCCCTTGCCCCACTCCCACTGAGACCCTGAGCAGGGGAGGGTGAGCACCCACAGGCGGGAAGGGGCAGCCCCGTGCCATTGTGAGGTCAGGACCTCACAGCCCATAATTTCTCACGTTCAGAAGAAAACTTAGTGCCTAGAAGCATAGACAGCGTCCCTGACATGGGCATAGTAGCCCTGGAAAGCAGAGGTCCTCCCCAGGACCGGGAGAGTGAGATGAAGTCCAGGTTGGAGGGGCTGAGAGCTGCCCCCTCCTCCCCAGGATTGGGTCTGTGCTGTGAGCACAGAGGGGCAGCTTGGTGGCTCTGCCCTGCCTTGGGCCAGGCACCTCCTCCTGCTTGTGGGAGCCTGCCTCGGTGGGCCTACCCAGCACCCTGGCCCCATCTCCTCAGGGCTTTGGACATTATCACAGGCAGGGAGCTGTGCTCTGACCTGGAGGCAGCGGCCAAAGCTCAGCTAGCTGAGTGGGATGTGGGGCCACCTTGGCTGCTCCTTGCAGAAGCAGGGGGCCGGTCTGGGCGGGGCCTGGCTGCTGATGGGCCCACTGTGGTGGTCTTCCCACTGGGGAAAGGGTGGTCTCAGGAAACTGCTGCTCAGCCCCAGGGCAAGTCTCCTCTCTGCAGAACAACTGTCCACACTCTCCCACTGAGAGAGGGGCAAGGGCTGTGGGGTGGGGGGGTGAGGCTGCCGCCCGCAACAGCTGGGGGGAGGGTGCAGCTGGTGTCAGGGTGTGTCAGGGAGGGAACCTTTTGGAGGAGGGTGTGAGTCACCATGAGTGAGCCTGTAGGCAGCCCCAAGAGCAGAGTCCTGGCCTTCCCAGGCAAGGGCTGCCCTGGTTCTGGAAGTTTCTCCTCCGGCGAGGCTGAATGGGCCTCCCTGGAGCGCAAGCAAGAGCTGGCTTGCCTCTCACCTCACCCTGAGCCTGGAGCCAGCTTTGTGGGGTCTATTCTCTGGGCTTCCTCAGAAGGAAGGAGGGGCTTAACTGGCTGGGGCCGGTTTAGTAGGGGTCTGGGCTCCACGTGGGGCAGAAGCTCCTCCTCCTTGCTCCTCCCACACCCTCCCCTCTCGGTCCTCCCCAGCCCCAGCCTTCCCAGCAGGTGTTTAGGAAGGTATTAGTTTAATCAGTCGTACAAAACCGCCCCCTCCCTTGCTGGGGTCCTGCCCCCTGAGGCATGGCCAGGTCCTCGCAGAGGACTCTGGGGGTGTGGGTGAGGGGCGGCTCAGCAGCAGAGGCGAAGGGCCTTGCGGAAGACCGTGCGGAACTCGGCGTTGAAGACAGTGTAGATGAGGGGGTTGAGGGCGCTGTTGACGTAGCCCAGCCAGGTGACCGCGCTGACCAGCTGCGGAGGCACGGCGCAGGCGGGACACAGCGCCCGGGTGATGTGCACCACAAAGAAGGGGGTCCAGCACACCAGGAAGGCCCCTGGGGGCGGGGGGGAGGGGAGGGCGCGGTGAACCACGGTCCCTGCGGCACCGCCCCCCGCCGGCGTCCTGGGCACCGTCTCGGGCCGTGGGCGCTGACACCTTCCACTCCGCCCACCGACCCCGGGGCAGGTACCCACCGACCACCACAGGCAGGACTCTCATGGCCTTGCGCTCCCGGCCGGTGATCTTGGCGCGCCTCCTTTTGCTTCCCTGCAGCGGGGGCTCCGCCGGGATGGCGGCGGGAGGCGGGATGGCATCGGGGGGCGCGACGGCC